GGGAAGAAAATAAGAGAATGGGAGGGGGAAACCCGTTTTTGAGTCTGGATTTACAAAAAAGCGGCCAACGTTGGTCGCTATTTCTGTCTGTTTGACCAAAATAGCGACCAAAGTTAGTCGCTATTTCTAAAAAAAAAATTAAATAACTTTTTTTTTCTATTTTGTTTTTTTTAAATATATATATATACATATTCGATAATTAAATATTGAATATTAAAATTTAGGATTCTAATTCAATTTAAAATTATCTATGCATGTATATGTATATATATATATATATATAATATTAGCTAATGCACTAATACTTAGTATAATGTCAATCTATAAGTTAATTACAACTATATAGTATAGTACATAGTATATAAGCTATATATATATATATATATATGTGTGTGTGTGTGTGTGTGTGTGTGTGTGTGTAGAGTATAGTGTATTATATATACTAAGTGCATAGTATACAAGCTATATTCGATATGTATTGTATAGTATAGTATATAGTATATAAGCTATATATATATAGTATAGTATATAGTATATAAGCTATATATACATAGTATAGTATATAGTATATATAGCTAAAAGCGACCAACTTTGGTCGCTAATTTTAAATTATATTTATTTATATTTTATATTTTTTTTAAATAATAATATAATTATTAAAATTTTATAAAGTGAGTCCCACTTTAGCGACCAAAGTTGGTCGTTAATTTCAGTGTTTCTTTGACCAAGCAAGTCTGACCACTCCGGTCAATATTTTGACCAAATTATCGACCAAAAAGCGACCAACATTGGTCGCTAATGTATTTAGAATAATTATTTAATTATTTTCTCCAATTTAGCGACCAACGTTGGTCGCTTTTCTTGACAGACCAATTTTGGTCGCCAAATTTTGGTTGCTTTTTTCCGGATTTCTAGTAAAGAATAGAAAAGAAAAATCAACACAAGGATTTAACGAGGTTCGGCTAAGCCTATTCCTCTGGGCAAAAGCAGAAAGAGTTTTTCACTATGAATGAGAAGAAAAACACAATACAATCTATAGAATCCCCAACTACAACCCCTATATATAGATCCCAAAAGGACCCAAACATATATGAGAAAAGTTTCCCAATTTGACAAGGACTATAATTTTTTCTTTCCCAAATCTATTAGGACAATAGATTTTCCTAAACCTATAGGACTATGGATTTCCTAAAAATACAAAGAAATAATTCAAACCACAAATAACAGAACTATTTGATGATGACTGGTTTAAACCTTTTGTCAATCTGGTAATGTATCAATGTTCTCTTCTCGTTTGAATTGCTTGCGGAATACTTATTGGAACTATTAGTTAAATTTGTCACTGCATCAAAAATAGAGGGTGATAGACGATAGTCTTAGATATCCCTTTTGTATTTGGAAAACTAAATATATAGGAAATCAATATATCTGTTTGTACTATTTTTAATTATATATATGATAACACAGAAAATACGAGCTCAATTGAAGAATTTGTGAATGGAGGTTAGGGCATATAGATGTTTCTTATCAGAGAGAAAAGATAGAAACGAGGCAGAGAAATGAGAGAAATGGTCGACCACAATACAATTGGCCGTAAGACTATTTATACTTCACCATACCCGGTCCACAATGTTTACAAAACTAATACGACATATTGAGACTAAGCTATTAAATCTAGCTAACTCTAATACAATACAAAGAATGGCTATCTATACAAGACTACCTATTTACAGACTAAATAAAGAAATGGCCAACTTAAGTGTTTGGCTGTAGAGGNAAGTTGGAGGGAGAAACCACCTTCAACTTGCCTAGAAAGGTATGATGGAGGACCCCAAACAGTAGTTTAGTGAAGACATTGGCAAGTTGGTAGGAGGTGGAAATATGGGACAATTGGAGGAACCCCTCAGCCAACTTGTTTCTGATGAAGTGACAATCCACTTCGATGTGCTTTGTACGCTCAATGAACACCAAGTTCTTCGCAATATGAAGAGCTTCCATGTTATCACAAAAGACAAAAACATGGATTGCTAGATCATGTAAAAGGCAGGACAACCAAACTAATTCAGCCACCATATGACACAACTCGATACTCAGCTTCAGTGGATGACAGAGAAACCCTGGGTTGCTTTTTGGGTTTTCAGCCAACAAGACTCTCCCAAGAAAATACAATAGCCCGAGATAGATATGCAAGTATCGGGGCAAGCAGTCAAATCATTATTTGTATAAGCCTTTATAGAGAAATCAAGATTGTTAGAGTAAAATAAACCAAAATCAAGTATGCCCTTAAGATACCGGAGCAGGTGGAGAGCAGCTACCGTGTGAGGTATCCAAGGAGTGTGCAAAAATTGGCTCAAATGTTGAACCCCAAAACAGATGTCAGGCTGTGTGAGTTAAAAAGAGCAATTTGCTAATGAGTCTCCTGTACTTCTTAGGAGAAGGTAATACCTCACCCTCAGCAGCCTTGAGCTTTGGGGTTAGCTCTAGGGGACTAGCAACAGAATTGACCCTCAAAAAATCAAACTCTTTTATCTTACCAAAAACAAATTTCTTTTGATTTAAAAGAACACCATCAGGGAAAACAGTAACCTCAATGCCCAGGAAATAGTGTAGAAAACCCAAGTCTTTAATTTTAAACTCATCATCCAGAGAATGCTTTAAAGCTGAAATTTTCACCAAATTACCTAGAGACCCTTTGATGAAAAGAGAGTAGTCATTGAGTGAATGATGGTATCCTTTAAAATAAAGAGCCTCGGATAACTTGGCATATCATTTTCTAGAGGCTTAACGCAACCCATAGAGTGATTTCAACTTACAAGCCAAAGGGATAGAAGAAGGAGAAGAAACAAGGAGGGGCTAGGAGGTAATTTCATATAAACCTCCTCATCTAAGTTACCATGAAGAAAGACATTATTGACATCAAGTTGAAATAAATACCAATTATTTTTAACGACAACAACAATCAAGACTTAACAGTAGACATCTTTACAACATGTGAGAATGTCTTAATGAAATCCACTCCCTCAACATGTGTGTCCCCCCTAAAAATAATCCTAACCTTTTATCTTTCAACCTCACCATTAGCTTTGTATTTGATCTTATAGACCCATTTACTATCAATATGTTTCTTACCCTTAGGAATCTCAACAATATCCCAAGTGTGATTTGCTTCTAAAGCCTCAAACTCTTTCCTCATGGCATCTTGCCAAGCTAGGATAGGGGCTGCCTAGGAAAATATATATGGTTCAAACTCTACTACCTGGGAAGAGGAACAAGAAAAGGAAGTGGGCTGCTTGTAGATGTAATCATTTAAGTAAGAAGGATGAGTAAGAGGTCTATCAGATTTTCTGAAGGGAATAGAGAATGGTGCAGGAATGGCATCATCAGGTTTGAAAGAAGGAGAATCAGGGGCAGAATGAGAGACTGCAGCTGAAGGAGAAACTGCAACATCTATGCCAAGAGGAGAAGAGGTACTGGGAGGAGTATGAGATGAGGGAACAAGTATCGAAGAAGGACTATGAGGTGTAAGGGGTGAGGTAGCAACTTCAGGAGAAGGAGAAGGAATAGGAAAATTATGGGGAAAATAAGGTAAAAGGGTAGTTGACAAAAGGGACTCAGACACAACAGGAAAGGGGAATCTAAGGGAAAAGGAAAATTCAACTCGTGGAAAACCACATCTCTGGATATGAAACACTATTTAGATTGCAAATTATACAACTTATAGGGCTTCCTTGCAAAGGGATAGCCAAGGAATACACAAGGATTAGCTTTAGGTTTCAATTTATCTCTTTGAGAAGTGGGAACAGTGACAACACAAAGACAGCCAAAAGTTCTTAAGTGAGAATAATTGGACTTTTTGCTGAATAATAACTCATAAGGAGACTTATTTTAAAGCAAGCTAGAGGGAAGTCTATTTATGATATAAGTGGTTGTGAGGAGACGGTCTCCCCAGAATCTAATTGGAACTTGAGACTGAAAAAGCAAAGCTCTAGAAGCTTCAAGAAAAGTTCTATGCTTCCTCTCTGCCACAAATTTTGTTGGGGTGTGTGAGGACAGCTGGTTTGATGATATTATACCATGTTCAGAAAAGAAGGAAATAGCAGCATTACTAGCTCTTAACTCTAAAGCATTGCCAGACCTTATACACTGAATAGTCACATGAAATTGTGTCTTTACCATTGCAACAAAAGCCTTAAGAAGAAGGAAATCATTACTCTTGGAGCCCACTAAGTGAGTTCAAGTGCTTATAGTGAAATCATCAACAATAGTAAGGAAGTATTTAGAACTTGACTAAGTAGGCGTGTGATATGATCCCCAAGTCTCAACATGGATAATTTGGAAAGGCTTAGAGCTACGAATTGAGCTATCAGGAAAAGACAATCTAGTTTGCCTAGCCATTGGACAGACATGACATGGAAAAGACCGTGTAGAAAAAATATCAGAAGATACTTCAAAAATACATTTTATTCTAATAAAAGGGACATGATCAAGTCCACAATGCCAAACAATGTCCATTTTATTCATTGCAGCTTTATTACAAGTGGAAGAAATAATATTTACAATAGAAGGAACAGAAATCGGATTACAAATAGATGACAAGCTGCAACAAGAATTTGACAAAGTAGCTTGGGGCTGAGAAGGTTGTTCTTACACAAATTTGTGCAAGTGACTTTAACTTTGTATTCATTTGGCAGGGAAACAAGGAAAGGAATAGGTAAATGTGTGATATTAATAAGGTAATATTGTTTGAGGTCGTGTAATCTGATGCACAAGAGTCAACAATACAAGTTAATGAATCAGATTGACTTAGTAGGGTAGAATTAAAACTATATACTATATTCTTAGGCAGTAAAGTACCACCAAAATTGGCAGAGCTCATTATGTTGAATTGAGATCCAGAATCAGAGATATTACTGTAGTAGTTAAATCAACTGATAATGCTGCTGCTTTGTCAATCCAGGCACCCCAGAACCATGTTCATTAGAACTAGCAGCAAAAACAAGGGCTTGGTTGGGTGAAGAACACTTAGGAGTAGAAAAGTCATAGTCCATAACCACATTGGCAGTTGCTTTCTTTCCTTTAGTGAACTTGAAATTGGGAGGGAACCATGAAGCTTGAAACACTTATCAATAGAGTTCCCAGATATCACACAATACTTACAAAAGAGGTTAGACCTAGATTTGTCAAAATTGACTCTCTGATCAAAATGTCTCTGATGACCCTAAATATTAATTTGTGGTTGAAGAGGTTTGTCATTGGGAGAATTGACATTGAAAGATGCTTATTCAGCAGTAAATTGTATAGTAGGATTGACTTGTCTTTGTTTTTCATCTTACAGAAGGATGTTGTAGACATTGTCAACAGATGGCAAAGGTTGCATCATTAGCAAATTGCTTTTGACACCCACATGTTCCTCCCATGTAGAACTGATGGACTTTATCCTCCTCTTTCTCCTTCTGAAGACCTTCTTTAGCAGCACACGTACAAGTATTTACATGGCTGGTGCATAGTACCCTCAATTCATCCCAGATTCTTTTAAGTTTGGTGAAGTAGGAAGCAATATCAAGGGATCCTTAATAAGTAGATGCTAATTCCCTTTTTAATTCAAATACTTTGGTGCCATTTACAGTTCCATATCTGTTACTTAATTGTTTCCAAATACTTTTAGCTGTCTCTGAGTAGTGACCACTTTCAGCTATTTTTGAAGACAACGAGCTAATTATCCATGATATAACCATGTTATTACAACGATCCCATTGTTTATAATCAGGGGAAGTCACAACAGTTTTGGGACATGAACCATTAATAAAAACTATCTTATTCCTAGAGGGAAGAGAAACTATCATGCTACATTTCAACCCCTAAAACCATTCCCTGAGAAAGGTACAGGACAAGGGATACTCCGGGAATATAAAAAAAATAGGAGGTACAAGGGAGAGAAAGGCTCATGAGTATATGCAGAAGATGTACTAGAACCAGTCATGATATCAAATAAGGAGTATCAATCAACAACTCACAGCAACAAGTCACAAATGATAACACACAAAACCACACACAATAAATCAAATAAGAGAAGATAATGCCAGCCTTCTTAGCAACCTGAAGAAGTAAGGCCTGGAAAACGAGAAAAGCTCTGATGAATGCACCAAGAAAAATCCTAATCTGATGAAATCGAGTGACTGAATCTTCTGCGTAACCAAAATTTGATCAGAAAGGAAACTTCCACCTAATATAACTTCTCCATGTCAGTAATGAAAAATTGAAACAAAAAAGCTAGATTTCTATCGAGATATCAACATAAACAACCTAACTCCGACTGTAGTGAAAACTTGACGAAATCAGGCGAGGGTAACACCGCCCGATAGAGGAGAACAAGGATTGATCGATTCCCTCTCTGATACCATGATAAAACAGAAGATAGGAGCTCAATCCAAGAATTTGTTAATGGTGGTTAGGGCTTCTAGATGTTTCTTACAAGAGAGAATAAGATAGAAACGAGGCAAAGAAATGAGAGAAATGGTCGGCCAACCCAATACAGTTGGGCCTAAGACTATCTTTACTTCACCAGACCGGGTCCACAATGTTTACAAAACTAATACAATATATTATGACTAACCTATTAAATCTGGCTAACTCTAATACAACACAAAGAATGGATATCTATACAAGACAACCTCTTTACAGAATAAATAAAGAAATGGGCTAACTTAAGTGTTTGGCTTTGGAGGCCCAACAATATATGAGGCCCGGGGGCGCCTGTATTGATAGAAAAACTAGCTTAACACGTGTTCCATTTAGAAAAAGACACGTGGCAAGTATTGTCTAGAGAGTTTACGCGTGCGCCAGTACATAAATCGGGAAGTCAGAATATGTACCTTGAGTTTTTTAAAATCGAAGGAAGATAAAAGACTCGAAAGATCAACTCGAATACTCAGAAAGAAGATGAGTGTCCGGAGAACTAAGAGTTTACGGATAAGGAAGGTAGCAGACGACAGGTTTAAAAATATCCGGGATTCGCTATTCACTCAGTGATTACAAGATTTAGCATTTAATTAACATAAATCAACTGTTACAGATTATTTAAATGGCCAAAATAAATGAATGTAATAGTAATGTGACTTAAGAAAACAACAACCTAGACTTATCACTATAAATGCCAATACTTGTTCACTTTGGCAGATCATCTAAAATCACTTGAATTGCTATCAACGCTAAAAATCTTATTGTTCTTATAAATCTACTTTTCTTTACTTTTGGCAATTGGTCAATCTCGCTGTAATCAAATTGCGGATAATCAAGCTTCAAGTAATCATCCGATAAAATATCTTATGTATCTTTATTTTGGTTATACATTTTGTTTTTACATGGATTATTACACCTAAATCAAGGATTTGAGGAGAAGAAATTATGGTTTTTTTACTTGAACCTAAGAGAATGAATTTTGGGTTTTGAACATGAAATTGAGGTCAGATTTGCATGAAACTAGTATGGTTGGACTTGTATTCGAATGGGTTATCAGAATTTGTGTGTTTTATCGAGTTCAGAGGTGTGGTTCCGGGTTGCGGCCAACAACAACAACAACAACAACAATAATAATAATAATAATAATAATAATAATAATAATAATAATAATAATAATAATAATAATAATAATAATAATAATAATAATAATAATAATAATAATAATAATAATAATAATAATAATAATAATAGATATAAAGCTAATATGGCTACTACGGCATGCAGCCCGAGCCATAATATCACTCCCAACACAACTCTCAGGCCCCAACACAGTCATCAATCTCTCTAGTCTCTCAGGCTCAGAAATCTCATACCTCTCAGCCCAAGCAATGAAAGCAAGATGTAATAGTGAATAATAATAGAGACTGAGATATGATATGAAAATGAATGAATATGACTGAGCACATAATTGCAACTTAGGCAAATAACTCAACATCAGAAATGACCTAAGTGGGTCCCAAAGGAATAAGCACATAGCCTAAACATGATTGCTAACATGAATCACAACTCAACTACTCTAACACGTAGGAATTACACGGATATAAATAAGATCACTAGATAATTACATAGTACCACAGAATCAACCGAGTCATAATTACCACAGTCCATATCCACACACTCATCACCTAACACGTGTGTGACACCAACACCAACCATATAACATGTATTCTAGGGATGTATACCCTTAGTACAAAATATAGAAGTGTTACTTACCTTAAAGTGCGCAACTCAATGCTCCAACAAACTCTTTCCTTGCGAATCGACCTCCGAACGACTCAAATCTAGTCACAAACAACTCAATATAATCAATACAAACTATAGGAATTGATCCCATAAGATAAAACTAAGTTCTTTAACCAAATTCAAAAGTCAACCCCGATATCATACCTTGGAACCCGACAAAATTTACAAAATACGAACTTCTATTCAATAACGAGTCCAACCATACCAAAATCATCAAATTCCGACCACAAATCGACCCTCAAACTCGCAAATCTTACTCTCCAATCCCTAGTCTAAAATCTCTCAATTTTCACCTTAAAAAACATAATCTAGGTGTAGAAATCAATGGATATTCAATATTAATGAATAAAAATGATCAAATGTTGCTTACTATTGAAATCTAGAGAAACCCCTCTTAAAAATCGCCGCTAGTCGAGCTTGCAAAGTCCAAAAATGATTGAATTCTCAAAACCCTCGATTATAATCTTCTTTCCAGCAAAATTGTTCCGCGGTCAAGACCACCACTTATGGGTTAAGATCGCCGCTTCTGCGGTCAAAAATATGCATTTGCGAAATTCACTTAAAAGATGACCACTGCCTCTATGCACAACTATCCGCTTCTGCAGACCTACAACTTCAGCTCCTCTTCCGCTTCTGCGAAAACAATTACGCACATGCGGGATCGCAGATGCGGAATAAATCACGCACATGCGGCCACTGCGCAGCTTACCCAGAACCACTTCTGCGACCCCTTGGCCATTTCTGCGGCTCCGCACTTGCGGCCAATTTCTTGCAGGTGTGGTTGCACCAGAATTGAACATAGCAAAAATTTCACAAGTTAAATTCTCATTCCGATTTCAATCTGAAACACACTCGAGGCTGCCGGTACCCCATCGTATCATACCAACCCATCCCAAATTATTATACGAGCTTAGTTGAAGCCTCAAATCACATCAAGCAACATCAAAATACGACTCGCACCCCAATTCAAGCCTATTGGAACTAGTGGACTTCCAACTTCTACAATCGATGTCGAAACTTATCAAACCAACTCTGATTGACCTCAAAATTTGCACCCAAGTCATAAATGATACAATGAACCTATTCCAACTCCCGAAATCAAAATCTATGCCCGGTATCAACAAAGTGAACTCTTGGTCAAACTTCTCAACTTTCCAAACCTTCAACTTTTCAACTTTTGCCAATTCAAGCCAAAACGTCCTACGGGCCTCCAAATTAATATCTGGACATACTCCTAAGTCAAAAATCACTATACGAAGCTATTAGAAGCATCAAAACTCTATAGTAAAGTGATTTACTCATAATTCAATATCCAGTAAATTTTTTACCTTAAGCTTCCAACTTTGGAACTAATTGTCCCAATTCATTCCGAAATATCTCTAGAACCTAACCGACCACCCGAGAAAGTCACATAACAACAAACAAATATAGAATAAGCAATAAATGGGGAAACATGGCTATCATTCTCAGAACGACTGGTCGGGTCGTTACATTCTCTCCCTCTTAAATAAACATTTGTCCTCGAATTGGTCTAGATCATACCTGGAGTCTCAAATAGGTGTGGATAGCTGCTCCGCTTCTCCTACCCAGTATCCCATATAGACTCTTCGACTGGTTAACCTCTCCACTGAACTTACACTTGTCACACCTCCTTTTTGCGCGCCCGGCCCCGAAGGGTTAAATGCGCGAGGGGAGTTTTTCC